CCCCCCCCCCCTCCCCCAATTCAGCAGCTGACCTGAGTTGGCGGGACACCGTAGGCACCAGCGCCGGTGAAGCGAAAGCGCACGACGTGCTTGGCACACGAGGGCGTAGCCTCACAAGAAACGGAATCGAAGAGAGGATCCTCCTCCAGTATTCTCATTAGTCGCTCGGTTTCCTTCTCAAGCTCGGCCGAACCACCGCCGACGCAGTTTCTCTCCGAACTTGCCGAAGGTTGACAAGATTCGAGGGCGAAGCGACACACAAAACAAGAGCGGCAGCATCAACACAAACAGCAGCAGCAAGCAGCAGCAGTCAAGATGCCCTGAGAACGGATCCCGGGTGATACCACATTTCGATAGGGTGTCAACCGACCAACGTTCTCACGCTCAACAGCATGTCGGCATATCCACGTGTTGTCAACTCCTACTACGTACCTCATCCACGAAAGAACACACTGCTGCCACGTCCAACATAACCCCTCTACCAAACCTCCACACACGCGGGGAATACTGAACATCTCGACAGCAACAAGTGTGTGCCGCCGAAAAAAGCAGGGCCAACCGCCGCCACGTCCCCGCCTCTCTCACCCAGCACCGGAGGACGTGTCGACGCGCAAGCCTTCCAAGGCGGACAAAACCCCGACGCGGTCCATTCCCACCCCGATAACGACCAGGTAGAGGCTCATTGGTCCTTGCCACATGCCGTCGGTTTCGAAGGAAAGACGCCGCCTCCCGCTCATGTTGAAAACCGACCTTTTTCGTGACGACGAATGAGCGCGGGCGTGACGTCAATGGGCTGGATCGATGGAGGAAAATCGTCATGGCTTGCTGTGGGCAGCAAGATTATCAATTGGAAAATGATTATTGAGTCGCATAGGGTAGCCGGTCGCCCCGGTGGTCTAGTTGATATCCTCGAAACCTTCTATATAGAGGTCAGTTCAGGTGTTCGAATCCCGGCGTAAGCGAGCTTTTCTTGCAAAGTAAGTTTTCTCTCGCTTCCGCTCCTGGCCTAGTGGATAGCGCTAAATAGTTCGTGTGTGTTCCCAGAGGGAAAAGAGTGCTGAACTCTTATCGCATTACAAACCGAAGTCAACGTACCACAGGAAAGGAGGGTAGAGATTAGAGAGGGGCTCTTCTGTGTGACCACGGGTTGGAGTAACCGGCACCAGTGCTGTGAGCGCTGATTTGAAGTCAAGACCAAGAAAAAAAAGGACAAACAAGATCCCTTGCCCCCCCCCCCCTTCGTCAATTCGTGTTGGAAGGGCAAAGCGAGCACGTCTCCCCTCCGAAATACGCATACGTAGGCGAGGGGTCGGCCACAGATCTGACGAGCATACAGTACATAGTACATACCAAGCAGGAACGAGACAGCATAAGTCTTTGAATCCACCATGTCCGCAGAGAGGGTAGGCGACTCTTACTACTTGAGCATTGGTTAGACCGCTAGACCACGACAGGGTCACTTTGACAACGTGTTTCGGTTGGAGGAGGCCCAAACGGCAAAGCAAAAGCTAGGCGGAGATCCGCCGTTTGTCGGTCAGTCAAACCTTATCCTGAACCTTTATACCATTACCTAGTCAGCCTGTCCTCGTCGAAGGCCAGCACCCCCTTCACCCGCACAACGCCCGCCGGCATGCCATGGCAAACCCAATCCTGGAACCTTTCGAAGGAAAAAAAGCAGTTAAAGGACAGGGGTTACCGGACAAGTCACGAGTCGGATAATATTGTTCCTCCCACACAAACATGCAAGAGCTTTCCCATCACCATTCATGTCAACAGTCTCCCCGACGATGTTGCGAAGAAGGCAGTCGGGATAGACTCATCTCGCCCCACGCACAAAACGAAAGCAAGCAGCCCCTTGTGCAAACAAAGACTAGCCTGCTCTTCCCTGGTATGCCCCCCCCAAAACAAAAAAACATCACGTGCTTGCTCACCAAAAGTAACGTCCACATTTTAATAAGCAACAATAGACGACACACCTCTTGGAGTGTTGGCACGCCAACTCTCAAAACACCGTGATTCGGCTCAACACCTCAAAACTAACGACTCCGTGGTCCCTCTACCTCGCGAGCGACAGCGGAAGACTAGACGTGAAGGTAACCTGCTCGAGACCGTCGTCTCGCAAGTGTCCCTGCGGTGCCTCCGTCTTCCCCACCTCCGCCGAGCCCTCCGCCGAGCACTCGTGTCCGGCACCACCACCGCCTGCGACTGAGGGTGAGACTGAGCGTGACTTGTTCCGATCGTGTCTTGAAGACGAAGGCGACGACGCTAATGATGATGCCGTTCGCAGGTTTCCACCCTTGGAGGAGACGCTCAGGTGGACTTTCACTCTCTTCTCTTGCCAGCCGTGGGGTGTTGTTTTCGGGGGGGTAACGAGGGCATCGCAAGGGTTGTGTCAGACTTGATGTGCGCGTATGATTGATGGGGGTAAGATGTTGCAACAAGGACCATATCATCATAATCAACAGCAGCAGCACCAGCAAACACGTTCGGGTGAGCAGCACACCAGTCTATGCCACCCCCATGGAAGCAGTAGCCCGCAGCAACCACACACCGATAACGCAAGTTGGCGCCGTTCAGCCAAGCCTGCACGTGTCGAAGAGGCTTATGGAACCAACTTCTCTGACCGTGAGACAAAAAATCGTGGAGAAGCGAAGTTTACGAGGTTTATGAAACAAAGTTCTCTAACCACAAGACAGGCGTGTTAAGAGAACCAAAGCGTTGGAAGTGGCGGACCCGTCCCAAGTAACGCCACTCCGGGCGCACCTCGTGGGAAACCCCCTGTATGTCTGTCCGCGGGGCCTCCACGTCCAGTACCGAGTGCAGGGGCACCTTTCCGTAGGAGCAGCACTCCACTCGCGCGGCGGGATTGATACTCGTGACCTCTTGGGTGAGCTTCGACAACCTTTCCAATAGGGTCAGCGGTGAAGCACGCGTACGGACGGCGGTGGCAGATTACAGATTCGGTACACATGCGGGAGGGAGCATCACACCAGCACAGCACAGCACAGCACAGCACAGAAGAGAGCGTGCACGGGTATTGCGCGCACCAATTAGGAGGGGCGATCATTGACCGAGGAACCAGGCTGGTGCCTGCTGCGAAAGCAATGGCACGATCCACTTCGGCAACGCGCAACAACAGAGGAGATCAACTGACGTCGCGCGGCAGTGGACCAGTTCACGCACTAGTCTCGATCGTGCCGTACCGTACCGTACCGTTGGTCGTCAAGTAAGTCGGCCTTGTTGAGGAGGATGACGTCAGCGCTCATTAGCTGATGTCTCATGGAGACCAGCATGCCTCCAGCGCCCCCCTGCCCCCCCGCCGCCTCCTCCAGTTGGTGGGAAAGCGCGTCCGCATCGACGACAGTAACGACGGAGTCTAACCTGTGGGCACGCAACAGCCGACCAACGCACCTCTTTCTTTGGTTCTTTCTTTCTTTCTTTCTTTCTTTCTTTGGCATGAGTCATCCAACCCCCCCCCCCCAACAAAATGCGAACTTCGCGAGAATCTCAAGCTTGCATTTTAGTAGGCGGGTAGGGTTAGGGTTCGGGATGCGAACCCCCCCCCTCTCTACTTCATAGATGCATAACCCCCCTAACTACTGCATAAATTAGAAAAACAACAAAACCCTCGCGAAGCCGGTTCGACAACATTCCGTCCGTCCCCTCCCGTCCGTCGATTCAGCGGTAACCCGTCGAGAGAATCACGGCAAGCACGGCAGCAATCACGACCGCGCTGTTTCGGATGGAAGCTGTTGTAGGCATGAATAAGTCTCACCCCATGCCGCCGGAGGCCGGGCCTGGCGATTCTCGAGCGCTTTGCCGGGTGGGTCACTTTGGTTCGGAACATGTGACCGTTGTGGCGATCGGACGACGTTCTACAACGAACGAGGGCCTTCGAAACAGCCCACTGAACGAAGCAATGATTTCGAAAAAACGAATGGCGACTCGTTACCATGAAAACGAGGGCCTTCGAAAACGCCCACAAAAGAAAAAAAGCACCTGCACACTATTATTGTATTTCATGAAGCAGCGGTACATTGAAGATGCACGTTGAGAGAGTTTGTCTTGTCATAGAAAGGCGACACCATCGACCCACCTTGCTCTGGTGAGCTTTCCGAAGGTCTTGTCGAGTGCCCGCACGATCGACTCTGGATCAGAAACACCGCTGGTCTCGATCACGAGATAGTCGTACCTGAACGCCACCGTTGCCAACAGCAACAGCAACGACAGGCCTCGCAAGTGTACCCCAGATGAACAACAACACCTAAAGAAGGGTACTTATCGCATCGGCACGGACTCCCTCAACGACCACCCGGCCACCAGCATCAAATACAATGTGGATTTCCAAACAGGGGGTCGACGTCAGCATGTCGTAACCGACGTGCTTGGTCTGCCATGATCACCTTCAAGCATCGTGTCTCTTGCGGGGTTGAGTCGAAAAGCAGCATCAAAACAGGCACTCATTGAAAAGTACATGATAGCATCGGCGAGACCACCACAAACAAGAGTACCGTAAGGTTGATTTATATAGCACACGCCCCGGCCCGATTTCCAAAACTCGATGTTGTACCTCGGTACCTCGCTAGGAAAACCAGCGACGGGGCCAACAGTGGCGTTAGGCGTTGGAACCTTCTCGTCGAGAGAAAGCTTTCCGAGAAAGTATCCTTTGATTTCAGCATCCTCTTCGTCGTGGAGTAATGAAGCTTTGAATATCGTCCCAGAGGGTGTGGTATCTTCCGTCATGCAACCTATGGTAGTCCGTCCCGCCAACATCGATATCAAGGCGTCTACACAGACTGGTGCAAGGACCCTTTGCGTGAGATTCTTCTCGCCGAAACTACCAACTTACCCCCCGAGCCACGATCCAAGCCACGATCCAAGCCACGATCCAAGCCTATCCTAGCTCGAGCGCGCGGCACTTGCGCAGTCTACGGCGGCTGGCATCAAAATCAACGAGGGCTGAACCTTGTGTGCCAGCCAGCCCAGCCCATTACGTCTTGCGCTCAGTAGGCCTCAACAGAGTCAAGAGACGGGCTCATGTTTCAAAACAAAAGAAAAACAGCAAGGGGTGGAATCGAGGACAACCTTGCTGTCGAAACGGTCTTCTCTTGGCACCGATGCTTCTCTCACGAACGTTTCCCTCGTCTAGATGCTTCTGGCTGTTTTCCGAAGCGCTTTTTTTCTGACGCCCAAAACCTTCGAGGCCAACGTCTTGCGGCTACGGCATGCGTCTACATGAGTACCGTGCATCCCCCTCACCTATCTTCCGCATGGTCCGGCCTCCTCAACAGCTCGCTGACCTTCTCCTCCAGCTCGCCCCCGAGGGAGGTATGGCAGCACACGCAGCCACCCATGAGCTTGTCTACGCTGTCCGTCTGTCCGTCTCTCTCCAGCACCCCTCCGTCGTGGTCTACGGTGCCGTACTCGTTCACCACGGCAGCGATGCGAAGGTTGTGCTGCACACGTCGAAAACACAAGGAAGAATTATCAAACTGTCTTCGTCTGTACAAGAGGAGCTGTGTTGCACCGTCAAAAACGTAAACAACACATGACACCCCAGCCAGGAAGATTGGCAACTTGTTTCTGTCTTTAGAGAAGCTGTGTTGCATCGTCAAGGAAGTCGACAACACAAAACTCCCCAGAAAGGAGTACCACGTTTTGGTATTTAGAGGAGCTATGTTAGACACGTCGACCACAAAAAGACACCGACATGGAAAAAACTGCTAACAGCAGTTTCTGCACGTAGAGGCAGCCTTTCAAAATGGCATCGGTTTGAGCCCTACCTCAAGATCGCTTGAAAATATGCCGTTTTGGCGCCACCCTAGCTGAAACGGATGATCGCACGCCCTAGACCGACCTTCAAAGATCGATTGCTTCACAACCAAGAGGGTGCTATCGAAAAACCGACTGATGCGACAAGGAGACCTCTAAAACCAACCCGTTCCGCATTGGCAACCAATCCATCAGGGAGAAACCGAGCTAGGATGAAGATTGTGGCCTAGGGTGACCAAAGCCCGCCCCCATAAAACAATCGTTCCAGCTCTTGCTCCGTTGTGTCCGTTTGCAAACCTTCGAGCGCAAGATCTTCCTCAGCAGCGTCGTCTTGCCTGCGCCGAGGAAGCCGGTCACGATCGTCACCGGAAGCACCGGCCGCTGTCGAGTGGCGTCGTACTGCCTCTTCTCGTACATCCGGTACAGGTTAGCCTCCGATGCTGCGTCCATTTTCGCCAACGGATCGTTTGATCGATCCGATCGATCAATCCCCGCAGGACACGCCGGAACTAACAATTTGGCGGAATAGGAGGGAAACAAGAGAGAGCAACGATCAAAATTGCACGCGAGGGGGGATGAGGGGTTGAGATATGAAGTCAAGGTACAGGACGGCAAGCTCTTTTTGAGTAATGGGTGGTTGCGTTTATTATACGTCTCTCGCATAGACGCGGTACTGCTGTACACAAATGCTCACCCACCAAGGTTCCCTCCCGCATCACTGGTACCTGAGCTCTAGGCTAAAGAACGCGAGAGGAAACCAGGGCACGCGTTTGGTCAACCGTTTTGTAAGTTGACGTACAGCAGTATCATATGATGCGCTTCTCGGCCTGGGGCCCCGGATACCAGGGGACGGTACGATATGCGGTGAGAACTGCCCGTGTCATCGACGAATGCAAGCAGAAATACGAGGAGCACGACCGTCACAGCGCCAGAGTCACCAACTTCCCCCACACGCACCGATTTCAAGACCCGCTTCCTCTTCCCTCCACCCTCCAGCATGTTCGGCAAGACAACCTTTCCCGGTGACACAAACTCGTACCCTGGCTGAACCCACAAACGCAGTGTAGTGTTAACAGCACTCTCAGCATGCACAACCGATCAAATACTGCATTCGTCGCAAAATATGCACCTTGAGGTTGCCAATTCTGCTGTAAATAACTCAAGTTCACGCACACACATCTTTTATTTTACTTGGACCTTTTGATATCCCTTTAGCCCCGCTAGGCTACAGCCGTATGCATACATCGACAATTGAACGAACAAGTTGGATGGTACGGTACGGTACCGTACGGTACCGTACCGTACGGTAAACGGATCTGTAGCTGTTGTCTGTAGGTTGCATGGCGTAAGATACCACCCTCCTTGACCGATTTTTAGAGCTTCAGAGCTTGATCACTCTGTAGGAGAAACGGTGACGGTGCCTAAATGGCGGCGTTGGAATCCTCTTAACCGAACTTTCCGAAAAACGTACAATTTGATTGTGGCATCCTCTTTGTTGTGGAGTAATCGGGCTATGGACATCGTCAAAGAGGTGTGGAATCTTCCGCAACCTACGGTAGAGCTCGTTGTCTCTGTGCTTTGGTTGCACCTTGTTCAAACACATCATTTGTCACGCGAACTTGTTGCATTCAAAGCAGCCCTAGCGATGTCAACAGCTGCTGTACACGGGATACCGCCCCTGGTCTACTGCTGTTGCACGTGGCGTCAGGTGCTGAGCTCGATGGCCGAGAATGTTCAATGCACGCAGACAAGTGCGTGACTGACTTCGTCCTACAAGTAGGTCCCCCACCAATGTCACCTCAAACTTCACCTCAAATTAGCTTCGATGCTTTTCCCTGCGTACTTGCACGTGTGTACGTTCCCTGCGCTGAACCCCGTCGGTGCTGCCCCTGCTGCTCTGCTGCAGAAACTGACGACCTACCACTGGACCATCGGACACGATCCACCATCCACCAAACCCGCAGCAAATTCGAAATTGGTGCGCAAGCTTCCTCTTCGAAACAAACACGAAAACGCCGTACAAGCTGTCTCTCTCGATCGAGCCGCCTCTCTGTTACTCTCTCTCCGACTTGAGCTTGGAGCAAAGCAAGCCGCAGCGCAAGAGAGCACCCCACTCAGCGATCCCAACCCCAGGGAGATTCCAACATGTTCAGCGCACGGGGCCTGATTAGGAGCGGGCCGGTGAGTAACCCTGTAGTCGTGCACATCCCAAGGACAACAAGGATTTCTTCGCTTTTTTTCTCCATTCCCCCCCCCACTTTCCACAGCAGGCTGAGTTTTGACTGAGGGGCAGTTGCAGGGTGTGCCGTACACGACATGCTAAGGACGATCGGGGAATGTATGGGACAATGTGCGTGAAGTTCTCTGGAGGGGTGTCTCCCAACAGCATAGCTGTGTCTGTTGGATGAAGAGCATTTGCAAAGTGATCAGCATCTAAATTCGTACCCACACATACGCACCCCCCCACACAAGCTGCAGTTCGTTGTTCTCGTTCCAATCGCTTTGGTCATGATGACTCGAGTCTCTCGTTGAAGCCAAAGCACAAGGATGTCGACGATCTCAACCTTCAGCAGATCAAACCCTCTATCCACCCTCGACTTCCACGGAGCGACAGATCTGAGGCAAGGGAGAAGGGTGCGGTTGAAGACGATGACATCATGAATTTCACTTCAACTAGATGCGGCTTTTTATACGAGTCGATTGTTGTTTTTCTTCATATTAAACTCGTGGCAGTTGCTTATCTCAAAATCTAGCAGAGACCATAGGTCCGTGGTCACAAAAATGCTGGAGCTATCAGAAGATGTAAATGACACACTCACTATAAGCAAGAAGAGGGTACGCAAGCCCGAGGAGGTACACCTACAATCCCTGCAGCACGCTTGCGTGCTCACAACTGAACTACACGCCTACACTAAAATTCGACTATATGTATACCATGTGGTATTGGATAATATACTCCAAAGTTTTGTGGTTGCGTTCTCTCGCGAGTTTCCCGCCCTATGAAAGGAGGGAGTAGAGAGTCATATCCTGTCGTCACCCTGACACACCAGGATAGTCGTTGTACGGGGAAGAGCTAGATACCGCCGTTACCGCCGCCGTCGGGATTCCGCTCGATGTTCTATGGTCTCCGCAGCAGCGACAGCGTTAAAGTGTGGTGTTCTGTGGTCAACAGCCTAGGTACACGACGGGCAGCAGTGTCGTTTGGGGCGCAGCAAACACGTGTGCTGTGTCCGAGTAGATCAGCCGGATTCATAAGCTGCAACATGGAAGGCAAAGCTGCTCTCTCAGATGCAGTGCTTCGGACGCCTGATATGTTCATGGTACATAACACCGCGGTTCGAAATATACTCGTAATTCCAGGGAATCCCCCCCCACCTAGCCTGTGCACCCCCCCCCCC